ATATATATATATATATTATTACAAGATAATGAGAGAATTTCGAATTATGTTTGGAATAAAGAAGAGATTAATGATGATGTTTACACTCGTACACGAGAGCTGTATTTATTAACCGAGGTTTGTCGAAGCTAATTTGTTGAAAGTAATCGTTGTTGTTGTTGAATTTCTATGTCGCAATAATTTACGAATCGAAGGAATATTCATTTTATCCATTTAATTCAATGAAAATGGTTAATGCAACGGGGAGAGAGAGTAAATAGCCGGCATAAACTGACTTCTCGTATATAAATATCTATCGTATCTCTTCACACTTTATTGCAATAATACTTTTTAGAAGCGAGCATTTACGCACGCGGATATTGAGCTTCGACACATTGTCGTTCGTTCATCAAGTACACGTTCACAGGAAAATTCCGTATATAAATGGCGCCTCGAGTTAATAATCGTTATACACATATTATGTGTAACAACGTTTAATGCAATCCTGCGGATGGAAGCGTTTTCACGAACGCTTGTGCAAAATGCTTTGACCTCCCCGACTTATTCCATTCCAATATCCCTCCCCTGCCCTCGCTAGCTTCCTTGCTAATTTAGAATTCGTTTCGATAATTCGCCCATTTGAAATACGATCTACTCTGATTTATTCTTTGAATAAATCACTCGACAAATTCTGGAACTCGGCTCGAATTTCACCGATTTCTTTCACGAATTCCAGGAATCGTGGTATTCGCGAACGAAACGAAAAAAAAAAAAAAAAAAAAAAAAAGGAAAAGAAGAGAAAAAAAAGGAAAAAAGAAAGAAAAAAAAAAAGAGAACTCGAAAATAGATGTCATCGTGCACGCACGTTAGCCTCGAAGTTGACGTTTCTCTCCGCCTCGACTCGCTTCGCATACACTTGGTTCGCCCAAGAATTTCACTCGAACCAGAGAAACGAGGATCGGTCCCTTGATTGGCCGATCCGGTGTTAACCCAGAAATGCACGCAACATTTTTCCTCGCAAATTCCTTATAATTTGCTCGCCCGAGCTTCCTCTAACGATTGAACTTCGAAATTGCAAACTTTTCGAACGAAAATATCATACATTGTGCCAAGTCGGTCAACAGGAAACAGGGGAAATTGTAACGAGTCGAGTTTTCCACGGTCATTGGTTGAAGCATGTTTCGACCGAAGTGGAGTTGTTATATTTTTCGAAAGGGTAGAATATTTCACTCCGCTTTCTCGAATCCGATTTTTTTTTTTTTTTTTTTTTTTTGTGGACTCCTCGCCTATTCAACGTGTGACGAATCCTTTATTATCGAGACGAGAGAGAGAATTCAATAAGATTTGTCAAAGTGTCGTTTTATCGTTCCACGAATTGGTTGTGTAGTAACGAGTTGTAGCGACGAGTTTACGAGTAAATCGGTCGAGGGACGTGTAAAGACTACCGTATTTTTTTCTTTCTTGCGTTGTGGAATTAGTGGAATGAGTGACTTTGTTTTTTCAATTTGAAATATTTATTATTTGGAAATAAAATCGAATACAATTTTTCACGATAGAATTCCATTCATCGATCTGTTAACAGATTCAACGTGGAATTTGAAGAAATAAATTTGGATCTTAGAGATTAAAAAAAAAAAAAAAGAATGAAATATTTGTCGAACTGAATGAACGGATGAAACGAGAAAATTCTTCACGGCGCAGGAATTTAAAAAATCCTCTGCCTTTTCATAGATCATTCGACCCGAATCTCGACGCGAAACCATTTGCATAAACAATTTTTAAATTAGATAGCTTCCATCCGTCGATCCTCTAATACCCTCACGGCCTTTAGTTTACATAGAAATTTCCGATTATTCGGAACAGTGGTGTTCTTCACGGTGAGGCATGAATCGCCTTTGACACGCGCGCGTACATTCGTAAAATCGGTCGACGGCATTTGAATTTTAAATTTCCTTTTCGTCGAATGGGTATAATAACCGTGGAATGTAACGGAGTACTCTTTCACGCTGAAATATTACTACGATGTTTGATCGTCGATTTTTAGAACGAATCTATCGTTTCTTCTACTATCCTATTAAGATTCTCGAATTTCTCGAAAAGTTTCGCTTCGATCGAGCAAAAATATTTCAAATATTTTAAATTCTAAAAAAATCGTTCGACGATCTCTCAATTTGGAAAAAAAGGGGGAGGGGGGGAAGTAGCGGATTCCTGAATGGAATCCGAAGGAAACGATTCTTTAATTCGAAGTGGTTCCTTTTCGAAGACAAATTCAAACTTGTTGTTTCGTATCCGAGGAAGAGATGGCGATTTCTGTCGTTCCCGCGGTTTTGCCGGGGCCCATTCACGAAAACGTTCCAACTTTCGTTTTTCGTCTCGGCGACAGCTGGCGTGCGTCGCGCTCGAGTTTACGGCGCTGTAAAACTTTAATCGCCGTGTCGTTGGCTCATTGTTCGACGCAGGAAAACGAAAGCAGAGCAGAATCGCGCCCCGATTTTTGATAATCTCGCTTCGCGCCGAGATGAAGAAGGAAGAGGAGCAAGGAAATTTCTTCTCGAGAGAGGGGAACGAAAGCGAAACGCGAAGTATGAAGTTCGAGAAGGAAAGTATATATTTATGCAAATTTTAAATGAGAGAAACAAAAAAAAAAAAAAAAAAGAGAAAAATCCAAGTTGAAAACTTGTTTACAAATCAAGGAAAAAGAAAACAAAGTGTGAAA